CGCTCGGCCCATGCCTTCTTTTTCTTCCCAACCGTCTTCTAGATACAAGTCTTTCTTCCCACTTTGCAATCTTCAACCTTGCTAGGGGCCCTTCCGCTTTCTTTCCCCTCTCTCCAGCAAACCAGGTGCCGAACGAGATAACGAGGTCCTCTGACCGAGCGAGCGATAGCCCAACGACCCGGACAATTCGAGCCCGCCAACTGCCACTACACTACACTACGCTAGGTGCAGCGATCCAAGCGAGCGAACGAGAGCGAGCCCCTCGACTGCCCAAATTGTGATACGCCCTCACTTCGTCTTTTTTTCCGGCGCCCGCCATACACACACGCTGATACCAAGCAAAGCCCACAAAGCCCGCAAAGCCCAGCCCTCGTTCCTGGCCCTCCGCCTCTGAGACAGCGTGACCGCATGCTACAGTCGACCGAGACATCGATTAGTCCGATCACGGCTTGATATTACCGGCCCCCCGATTCCGTCCCGAAAGCTGAAGCACCACCACCAGCCCGGGAGGCCCTGTGACGTTGTCTCCAGGCGCACCTACTGTACCTGCCAGCCCTGCCAGCCCGCCTTGTCAACACCTGTCGCCAATACTGTCTGACTGCTTGCTTGCTTGCTTGCTTGCTTGCCTGTCCTCTTAACTGAGGGGTCATCGCTATCCACGCCAGGTCTCGCTGATCTGCTTGTGATAGACGACTAATACACCACTCCACGACCCCGTTTGGTTTTGAAAGCAGAAAAAAAAAAAGAAGAAAAGAAAGAAAGACAAAAAGGCACCCGAGGGCTGCTGTGGCATTCGGCCCATCCTCCTCCCCCAAATAGGCCTCTATTCTCTTGTCTAGATGATGGTGCGTCCGCATTTCCTCCCTCGCTGGTTCCCGACCCCCGGATACCGGGATTTGGATCCATGCTCTCGGCGGAGCCGCACGTCAATTTCCGAATATGGATACCGCGTGTCGCTTCCTGGGCGATCGTCTTTGCAGGAGAGACATGAAAAAATTATGGGTCCTTGTGGATCGGGAGAACCTCCTTTCGACTGACCAACCTGTTGTTATTCCAGCAGACCTCATCCCGTCCCCAAGGCGATGTTGGCTCCAGTTTCGCCAGCCGACGCGGCCACGACCGACTGTCGATATCCGATCCTAGCCGCCACGTCACCGAGACCATAGGAACAATGTACACCATCGACGACGACGACTCCGGTCCCGAAGACGGCCGTCGGGCCAGCCGCCCCCTTAGCTTCATTGCGACTCAGGGAGATCACTTGGAGCGCCTCGCTAGTCTCGCCGAGGAGCCCTCCGAGGAGAACTCGGGGGATGAACTGCGCCTCGTCCGGACAACCTCAGACAAGACCAAGTCAACACTACACGACACCACTGGCGGAGAGGGGGGCGATGATGGGTTCATGGGTGGACGCACCTCGAAGGAGTCCAGCACCCTCCCGATGAGGAAGTCAAGCGACACGAGCAGTTTGTCAGAAAGACCGGCCTCTCCGCTTTCGCCCGCGCGCTCGATACGGGAACTACAGGCCGATGGGTCGGCATCCCAGTTCCCCATGACGAATATCGACGACGCCAACGACATTGCACAAGAGTTAAGTAATCTGCAGGCGCTGCGACGGCTATCGATGGATGTTGGGAATTTCAACGACCCCGATCTTCTTCCTTTCTCGAATATGGGCCTAGTCCAGTCTGGTCCACCATCGGGCGAAGATGATGAAGCAGACCCGTCTCGTTTGCTATGGGTACCTGCGAGAGTACACCCGGAACTCGAACCTACGGCGTTCAAAGACTTCCTGGAGAATCGCGTGCAGGCAATAAAGCGGCGGTCCAGTGACTCCATGTTGTCGATTGACCTGAACCGAAGTGACTCGACAGGTGGAGGAGGGGGCTTGAGGAGAAAGAAGTCAATGCTCTCTCGCCAAATCAAGCCGACGAGTGAGGGTATTGACTATGTGGATGGCGCAGAAAGGCTGCAACGGCAACGCTCCCTACATGGCGATGGTAACCCAGAACCTAGCCTGAATGAGTTGGTAGATGATCCTACGAAAGCAGTCAAGAAACTGGCGCTTGAGACTCACCAAGAGGTGGACGAGGGTGACATCCCGATACTTCCTGCTCCAAGTATGGGTCTAAGACGCTCCACAAAGACAACATACAGAAAAAGCGGCAGTGTACGCGGGAACAAACCGTCATTTTCGAAGAGGGCCCATGGAAGGCAGTCATCCGAGCTTGAAGATGATATGCCCCCTGTTCCGGCAATGGACGAGGCGTCAAGTCAAGGCCTGAAGAGGGTACAGTCCGAGCCGGCCCTGGCTGATCTCTACTCACATCCCGAGAAATCGCTGCACACACGGCAAAATTCTGCGCGCGATCCCTCGGGTTCATCCAAACACATAACCGTACGACGATCGTTAGAAGACACACCCAACAGAGCTCTTCAGGACGAACCAAAGTCGGCTAGCCCGCCTGCCCCGGCCCCAGCGGAAGTCCTCCCTGTCAAGAAGACTCCGCCCATACCGCCACCCACAACCGCCCCGCCGCCGGTGCCTGCAATCGTTGCGACGCCGCCAGCAGAGACAAATAAGCAGACTCTACCCGATAGATCATCCACCCAAAAGGCGGACGAGCCGTCTCCTCGCGCCGAGAAACGTCCGTCGATTGACGCAACCCAGTCGACAGCGCAAGCTAATGGCAAGAGTCAACCTAAGCCTTCTGCGCCGAGCGTAATTACGCAACCCTCGCCGGCATCGGATGAGAAGAAAGCGGACAAGAAAGCGAAAGAGAAGGAAGAGGTTGAAGCCCCCACCAAATCGTCCGGATGGAAATGGTTCAAGAGTGATGAGAAGGACAAGAAGAAGCGCGAGAAGGAAAAGGAGCGCGAGAAAGAGGAGCAAGCTCGGAAAGCGAAGAGCAAGGGCGGAGACAAGAGCCATGATGCGACCCGGTTGGACGTTCTACAAAACTCCATTGAAGGCTCTTCCAAAGGCCGGGAGAGCTTGGTGCTGGATCGGGATAGTATCGACAAGAACGAGGACAAGAAGAAGGAGACCAAGAAGGAAAAGGAAGGCTTCTTTGGTGGTCTTTTCGGAGGCAAAAAGAAGGCTGATAAGGAGCCTGCCAAGAAGAAGGAGCAAACCCTACTCACTCCAGAACCTCCTCGCCGAAAACTTGTTCCCGATGTCGACTACTCTTGGACTCGCTTCCCGATTATTGAAGAGCGAGCCATTTACCGGATGGCTCACATCAAGCTTGCGAACCCCCGCCGACCCTTGCACAGTCAAGTCCTGCTCAGCAACTTTATGTACTCTTATCTCGCAAAGGTCCAGGCCATGCATCCCCAGCTCAATGTGCCCACCTCACCGCAGCAGAGGCGATTGGAGGAAGAGCGCAAGCGCCGTGAAGCCGAACAGAAGGCGGCGCAGCAGCGAGCGATGGAGCAACTCGCCCTTGAACAACAAATGGCGGCGATGTCTGGCCAGACCGATTTCAACTTTGAGTACCATCGCGTAAGTTAACGTTTGCCTAAGCCGAAAAATGGTTGTGCTTATAAATACTAACACCTCGTTTAGGCTGGAAATGGTTACGGCGAGGCATCGGGCGGCGGCACTCAGTACGTTGATGACGCTCAGATTTATGAATACGAGCAACAACGGAACGAATCTCGCGCCCGCCAGGAAAACCAACAACAAGAAAATGGCAAAAATGACGAGGCAAAGGACATGTGGTAGGGCGACCACGGCCCGTCTTCGAGCTGGTCCAGACTCTGCCTAGCTGGTTGAAGAAGTCTGCGGTACCAGTCCCAGGCCATCACTCTGGTGGGTTAAACTGCACGTCAGGCTTGACTAACGTCTTGTCCGGCGAGGAATAAGAGACGGGCTCAGGCTGCTTCATAGTGCGAGAGGAGGTAGTGGGACATTTGACAAGAGCATATTGTACTTAGCTAATCTTCCTTTTCTTTTCGACTTTGTAAACAAGAGCAGCAGCAGCAGCAGCAGCAGGAGAAGGAGGAGAAGGAGAAACAACACGAAAAGCAGCCCAGCAGCGAGCATCGGGATTGGCGTATTGGGACACAAATGTCATGGAATGGGGGAGGCGGCAAGGCGATGAAAGATATATATTTATTGGGTGTTGTAAAAGAGATCAATGGTTGAGAGTGGATGGATGGCAAGTAGGAAGGAAATGGGTTGGGAATTCATTGCAACTCTATTTTTTCTTTTTTTCTCAACATGTTGCGAGTCGGGATCTATCTACCCTTGAGAGGAGAGAGAAAGAGACCGAGAGAGAGACAAAGAGTTTATCATCCTGTTTTGTATCACAACGCAAAAAATGTCACGGCAATCTGTTGGTCCCCCTTGGGAGCAACTCTCTTCTTCTTGACAGCGATTTCGGGCTGCCCGCTGCACCAGATTGCGGAAACAACGAACAACTGTCTCCGTGCGCTTTTCATCAAGTGAAACTTGGCAGCCTTCTTCCTTGTTACAGTTTGCCCTCGTTGACTAGTAGGCATTTTGAGTACCTTGTTGATCCCCTTGCCGTCGGACTTGAGCTGAGCTTCCCCTGGTTCCGTCTGCGATTATGTAGCTAGGTAGGTGATGCCGAGTAGACCGGTATGATGATGTGTTAAACTGGAGTACCTAATCCACGCAGCTGACACTGAGGTGTTGGCAGCGCCTGGCACTCTGGCAGGGCGATCCCCTCGAGGGCGGTGTCGCGCTCCCAGCTTGCCCGCCACGCCCGTCTGGCTGGTGCCTGCCCCTGGCGGTCACCACTTGCATGGCCTCTACACTATAGGCGCTCAATAGGGAAGGCGGGAGCTGTAGACATGTACCAAGGTAGCCTGGAGGTACCCACCCGCCCGCCCGTCCAGCTGGAGCCAAGACAGAAAAGACACAGCGAGAGCTCCCCTCCCCCGTCCGGGCCCCTCCTGTCACGGTTTGGCCTCAGTTTTCAATCACTGCTTGGAACCATTCAGATTTGAGCACCTGCCTACCTCTACCTACGCCGTGAACTCTCCCGGCCTCTCTGAAAATCTTCCCGACATCAACCACCATCCAAAAAAAACGTATCTTCCATACCTACCTACCTCTATCCTCTCCGTCCTTGGGGCTCTCTGTTGACCTCCGATTCGTGTAATATTCTTTCTTACTTCAACTCGATTCTCGGGCCGCCGTCGTCCGTTTCTGCTTGATACCCCGCCTCCCGGTCGCGACCAAACGCCCGTCTGTTGTTGCTTCAGCTGTCGGCACCATCACCGCCCGGTTGCGCATTTGTCGACATTGACTTTCCACTTTCCACCACATACTTGGCACCGCACTACGCCCGCCGTCAGCTACCTTTTACCCCTTCACGTGTAGCTTCCCATTCGGCCTTCAGCTCTCCCTCCATCCCGATCCCCAACACCCCTCGTCCTCACCTGGTCGCCGAAGCCAGCAAATACCCAACCTCCCCCAACGCACATCTCAGTCTTCTGTATTGAAGCCCTCTACCGGGATGGCATCTGTGAGCTTCTCCTCCCTTCTTTTTCTGCCCACCCCCCCCCCCCCCCCTCTCGCTGCCCAGCTTCAGCACGTTCCCCAACCACCATCCCACCTCTTCCCCACCATACACTACTCCGATCACCGTCACGTCTCGTCGAGCATGTCTGGCTGCGATCGCCTTGACCGCCCGGCTGTCTACGAAGCTCGAGCCGACACGCCATCTTCGCCTGTCGCTACCTTGACGCGTGTTTGCTAACTTGACACGTTCCTCGATAGCAACCCCGTAATACATACAACGCCCCCGGGTTTCTGCCCAATGGTGCCGCTCCTCATCAGGGCCCAGTACCCGGCGCTACACCTCTCCTCCCGAACCAAGGCCGCATTTTGGAAACTGGTCCCACCCGAGTTCTCTGCATTGCAGATGTTCGAGGTAAGTTTCTCCTCCAGTGTTATCCTGTCCCGGCTGCTGGTTTGCGCCTTGTTTACTGACTTGCCCCTTCCCTCTTGCAGGTAACCTCCGGTCCTTGAACGAGCTCGCCAAGGCCGCCCGCGCCAACTATATCATTCACACTGGTGACTTTGGTTTCTACGACGAAACATCTCTCGAGCGTATTGCGGAGAAGTGCGATATCCCTTGGCCCAACTCTGGTCTTCCCTCACTGACCAACATTTGAACAGGACATTGAAACATGTTGCCCAATATTCGCCCCTGATTTCCGAGACCACCAAGAAGGCCATTGCGCAAGCCGCTTCCGGCCCCGTCAAGAGCCGCTTCCCTGCTAGCGAGCTTCCTCTTTCCGAGCTGCCTCTCCTCATTTCGGGCGAACTGAAGCTGGATGTTCCCGTGTACACGGTTTGGGGCGCCTGTGAAGATGTCCGGGTGCTTGAGAAGTTCAGATCAGGAGAGTACAAGGTGCCCAACCTGTTTGTGATCGACGAGTCTCGGTCGAAGCTCCTCGAAATCGGCGGTGTCAAGCTTCGTCTTCTTGGTTTGGGCGGTGCTGTCGTTATGCACAAGCTTTTCGATAACGGCGAAGGACGGACTACGATCGCTGGTGGACAAGGTACTATGTGGACTACACTTCTACAGATGGGCGAGCTTGTCGACACTGCTAATCGCGTCTACGACCCTACCGAAACACGCATCTTCATCACCCACGCTTCGCCCGCTCGTGAGGGCATCCTCAACCAGCTTTCGGTAACTCTCAAGGCGGATTTCTCCATCTCGGCTGGTCTTCATTTCCGTTACGGAAGCTCGTACAACGAGTTCAGCGTCAACCCGACGTTGGATCACTACCGTGGAAAGCTGGCCGCTAGTAAGGCATCTTTCAACGATGTGTGGGAAACCGTCCGCAGTGAGGTTGAGCCCGCGATCCAGCAGAACGACGTCCAACAGACCTTGCTCAAGAACGCACTCAGTGTTGTTGAGAAGATGCCTACGACCGCTGCTGGTGGAAACCCTTTTGGTGGTGCAGCTGCGGGCCAGTCGGCCGCCGCGCTCGGCCAAGTCGACGAGAGCGCCTTTAAGAACATGTGGAACTTCAACCTTGCTGATGCCGCGTTTGGATGGCTGGTGCTGGAAATTCATGACGGAAGGATTGGAACCGAAATGAGAGCTCAGGGATTTAACTTCTCCCATCGCGGGGCTAAGCAGCCCGTGTATGCGGCCCAGGGTGCCGTCCCGCCCTCGACCGGAGGGGCTAACCCCGTTCCTACTGGCCCCGCTGCCGCTTCTACACCCGTTCAACCCGCAGCGCAGCCCGCGCCTGCAGTACCTGCGGTCCCTGTTGTTCCCAAGCAGCCCCCCGCGCAAACTGCTAAGCCCGTTGCCCCGTCGCCGGCTCCGACACAACCCAAGGCGGCTACACCACAGCCTGCTGCCGCCTCGCCCGCATCAAGAGAGTCTGAGAAGCCGGCATCCGCTCCCACGAACGGGGCTTCCAATAATCCGGAGCCTACCCCTTCTCCGGCGCCCAAGAGCGCTGCAGAAAGTATCATTGGCCTCTTTGTCATGCAACCACCGAACGATGACGCCATCCCTGGCCTGTTCGCGGAGGAGGATAAGTCCAAGATCGTCAAGGTCGATAAGTGGGGCCAGAACAACAGAGTAGTCATTTTCAAGACGGTCGAGGATCGTGACGGTGCCTTGGATCGCTTGCCTCAGGAATACAAGTCTCGTGGCACTGGCTCGGACGACCGCTCGAAGCCGCTCATCAAGGTCTTCAACCCTCCCTCGTCAAGACCGTTCAACACCCGTGGCGGCGCCGGTACGTGGGCCAGCAGCAGAGGTGGTCGAGAAGGTACCCAGAGCGGATACCGCAGCGCTGGTGGCGGAACTGCTAGCGATAGTGAAGGCGCTGGTCGTCGTGGAGGTCGCGGAGGTTCCAGAGGCGGCCGTGGTGGTGAGCGCAGCGGACGTGGCTCGCGCCGTGGGGGCTTGAAGGGTGACGGAAGCCCGGCTACGACTTCTGCTACCCCGGCTGACTCTTAGGACACGGAAGCTGTGGAGTTGAAAGTCGAGGACTCGAAGCAAGGTTCGGAGAAAGGTTCGAAAGAAGGTTTGAAGGCAATTCTGAAGAAAGCCGGTGCCAGAAAATCAGAACCTTTGAGAAAATCATCAGACAATCCCGAATCGACGTCGTGAGATGCAGATGGTTAAGTCAACCTTGTTCAATGAGGGCCTGGCGTTGTTGGGGAAACGGTGCTTACTAGGGATAGATTTAACCCTGGCAATGTTGTTCTGGACTGGGACTGAAGAAATAGTGCAGGGGTTGTTTTATCAAGTCAGGTTCAAGACAGGCTAGGTAGGCCACGTCGAACTGAGCTGAGCTTGCTGCGCGGGAGAGGAGAAGTGAATGAGGGGAAAGCGAGAGGAAGAAAACAGCGTACAGTTTACCATTACAATTTCAAGAACCAAAACCATTCTTCAGAGCTGTTCATGTCTCTCGATGCAGATATTGTAGATGATGCGGATGGTGTTTCAGGTCGAGGTCTCCAAAAGGACGTTAGCGGATTTGCTTACTTTGCTTTTTTCTTTTTATTCTTCTTCTACCTTGTGTTCATGTCTTCACTTAAATTCGCTTTTCGTAAGACAAACATGAAAGGCTCGTTTTTATCGGTCGTACAAACGAAAAGATGTTGAAAGGTAGAGAGAGGATGGACATGATAAGTTTGTAGAGTAATATGTACCTTAGTCTAGCCCGCCAGAGAGCGTTATGTCCAACATTGTTTGCAAGCCGCATCAAGTGTTGTTCCCCGAACCTCTCCGTCATTCTTTTTTTGAGGTATGTAAGAGTGTTTTTCGGAATCGATCTCGTCCAGTGTACTAGGAGTGAACGAGTACAAAGCTAATAAGCGAGCCAGGACTAGATTGATGGATTTTACACTCTCGTTCCCTAACATCCTCGGTCACGACTACCGCAGCTTTCGCAAGGTGTGGCTTACTCGGAGCTCCAAACTCGGAGCTTAAAGATTTCATTGTTTCCCCTTTTCTTGCCTCTCCGCCCTGTCTACTAGATCTAGGTCTAGATATAAAGTCTTTCCCAACCGTCTTCAGACTCCCGTTGCCTTTGATAATTGTACAAGTATGTGTGGGTTGAGTGGTAAGATAGTAGAGGTGGCCGGGAACCATCGTCTAATATGTACAAATAAAAGTACATCGCTGCCCCCTGTTCTCTTTAAGGGGGTATCAGCTTTTGTTTTGTTTTTCTTCTTCTTCTTCTTTCATTCTCTTCTCCCCCCTCTGACCGCTTGCTTGGGCTTTGCTATCAACCACTGCACCCGATCGTCCCGGTGTTTCACCTCTTCGTGCAAAAGGCCACCAACACCACCAACTAACCTTTTCTCTTTCCTTCTATCTTCCATCTCTCAAACCTCACTCCACCACCCTCTTTCTTACTTCCCCCTTTACTTCCGCCTAGGCTTCATGCCCTTGTGAATCGCTGCCACACCACCCGTCAAATCCTCATACCCCTGTCCACCAACCACGAAACCCGCATCAACAATCATATCCCTAAAGTCCTCCTGGCTCGGGAACCTTTCGATCGATTCCACCAGATACTGATAACTATCCCTATCCCCCGCGACCAACTGTCCGATGAGCGGGATCGCGCTAAAGCTCCACTGCTTGTAAATGGTGTTGAAAAGCGGGTGCTTATCGGCCTTGCTAAACTCCAAACAAGCAAAGACACCACCGGGCTTGAGCACGCGATAAGCCTCGCGCAAGGCGGCGGGGATGTTGCTAAAGTTCCTGATGCCGAAAGCGACGGTGTACAGGTCGACAGACTCATCGGGGACTCCCGTGGTGGGGGAGTAGCCGACCTGGTTGGCGCCCAGGGGTTTGGTTTGGGTCAAGTCTTCAGCGTTGGCTTCGAGGAAGGAGAGGGCGGCTTGTTGGCTGGCGGGCAGGGAGGTGGAGCGCTGTTTGCCGACGGAGAGCATGGCGGGGTTGATGTCGGAGATGGTCACGCGCACGTCGGGGTTGCCGTTGAGGATGTGCGCCGTGTGCAGCATCCGGAAGGCGATGTCGCCGGTGCCGCCGGCTATGTCGAGGATGTGTTGAGGGGCGCGGGGGTCGGAGGAGGAAGTGAGGGGGGAGAAGCCGGGGTTGAGGGAGGCGACGAAGTGGTCCCTGGAGAAAGAAGAAAGAAAGAGAAGAGGGTTAGCTGGGCTGATTGTGGTACAACATATGAGTTTTGCAAGGGTTGGTGTTGGATGAGGGATGTGACATATGCTATGATAGCATGGGATGGGGAAGAACTAGACTGAACATACTTCCATACGCGATGCCAGCCAAAAGACATGAGATCATTCATGCGATCATACGACTCGGCAACGCTGGTGAAAACACCAGCAACGCGCTCTCTCTTCTCGGCCTCGGTGACGGTCTCGAAGCCGAAGTGGGTAGGACGCGCAGGATCGGGGATGGCATATTCGGGTACTGAGTTGTTATTGTTGTTGGGCTTTTGTTGCGACTGGAGGGTTGTCGAGAAGGACGACCGTAATATCCGGGATTCGGCGTGTAAGAGCGTTCGCGACGAGGGAATCGCCCTTCGGAGGGCCGGACGGGCAACCATGGTGGATTGGCGACGAGGCTGGGGAGAAAGTCCGGGAGGTAAGTGGGTTGGAGAGAGGATCTGGAGAAGGAAGGATTAGAATGGCCCCCCCCGGAAATTGAGAAATGTCAAGAAAGTTGTCGCCAGTCGGCCCGCGGCGTCGCAATCGATGGCTGAAAGGCGCTCCCCCAATCGAAATTGCCCAATTGGGAAGGCTGCGAAATCTGCATGTGCTGGGGTAACTAAACAACACACTGCAGCGAAGCTCGGGTGGCTGGTGCAGTGCACTGCACTGGTTTTTGTGGCTTGTGCGTTGCTTGGGCCATTGTCCAGCCTTGTTTGCGGGGTAGCTTCTGGGGACTGCGGGGGTTCCATCGGGCTGGTGGGGGTCCCTGTGTGGTCTCCGTTTTTTTTTCTCCAGATGGTGTTCGCAGGCGCTAGCGCAGGGTCGAATGGCTGGCGCAAGGAGATCTCGAACATTGACCCCTGCAGTAATGATGGAATCTTGGAATGTGTAAACATTCAGGTGTAGTGAACTCACTTGGATTAGACTATGGTTTGGACGTGAAGATCCGGGCCTGACGACGCCGATGAAACAGTATCGCATCTATCGTCATCGGCCTTCTTTGATCCAGATCTTGCCTCGGATCCGACAGATGGCTCGGACTTCGCGGCCTCGAGGTCGTCAGAGGCTGCCTTTTTGGATTCCTTCACGGTGGCTTCGGCGTTTTTCGCGTCGGCCATCCACTGCGCGATGAAATGGATCATCTTTCTGTGGAAAACGGTGAAAATGGCGATAGCGGCGAGGAGACAGACGATGATGGCCACGATGGCGTTTCTGCCGGACATGGTTGAGAGTTTACTGGGAATAGCTTGTCAATGTCGCTGTTGCTGAAGGGTACTGTCTTGCTTGTGACGCGATATCGCGGGGCGTTGAGGGAAGGGCCAAATGAGAAATGGTAGCGAGGTGTTGCTACTCTACGAGATTCAGATGTGCGACTACAAGGCGAGGGTTGGCTGCCGTTATGGTATGTGCGCTTGTGTGGGACGAGACGGTTGATGAAGAGGTGTTCTGTTCAGCAATCGATTCACTCGAATTCTGAACGGAAACCTGAGGCTATGGTACCCCCGTTGTCCGGACAGCAGAGTATGCGGCCCAAGTTGGGATGAAATCCTCAGCATCAGATGAAAAAGACCCAAGTCGCTTATTTCGACATCTACCCTACCACACCTACCTAGCTAGGCTGTCCTTCCCGCCCTCAAAATCCCCAAGGTCATACTCCTCCGGGTACTGCTCCAGATGTTCCTTCAACTCCTTCATCTGCGCCTTGATCTCCGGCGTCATCTCCTGATACACATCCTCAAACATGGTCCTGATAGCAGGCTTCTTCTCCTTCTCCGCCTGGGAGAACGCCTTGAGGATGTCTCTTCTGATGCTATCGCGCGCCTCCCTCTCCATGTTCTCGTCCCAGATACCCTTGGCCTCCATCCACTTGCGCAGCCTTCCGATCGGGTTGTCCCTCCTCTTCCAGTCCTCCACCTCCACCTTGGCACGGTACGCAAACGAATCGTCCGACGTGCTGTGGTGGCTGACGCGGTAAGTCATGGCCTCGATCAGGACCGGCTTGCCGCCGTCTTGTAGGGCTAGCTCGCGCGCCCGCTTGGTCACCTCCCGCACGGCCCAGAAGTCGTTGCCGTCTACCCTGATGGTCTCGATGCCGTAGCCGAGGCCGCGGCTGGCGATGCCGTCGCCGCGGTACTGCTCCAGAGTTGGGGTCGAGATGGCGTAACCGTTGTTGCGGCAGATGAAGACCGCTGGGCAGCCACGGGTAGCGGCAATGTTGAGCGCGGCGTGGAAATCACCTTCGCTTGCGGCGCCTTCGCCAAAGTAGGCGGCTACTACCCTCGGGGGCACCGTGGGATTTTGCATCCTTTGGATCTTGAGAGCATACGCAGCTCCGGCAGCCTGGGGAAGCTGGGTAGCTAATGGCGAGGAGATTGTATGCTAAGAGTCAAACAACAAGGTTAGCCATTATGTTACTCCGAAGAGGATAGTGACATCAGCCCAAAAAAGACAACATAAACCTACAATATTCAACTCTTTGCTCCCGTAATGCACCGGCATGTTCCTCCCCTTGCCCGAATCCTTATGGTTAGCAAACAGCTGGTTCATAAAGTCACTCAACTGAAACCCGCGCTGCTTGAATACACCCTGCTCGCGGTATTGACAAAACACCACGTCCTCCGGAGAAAGCGCCGAGGCACTCCCCACGCAAACGGCCTCTTCGCCCGCTGATACCATATAAAAGCTGAGGCGGCCTTGGCGTTGCGCATCGAACATGATCAGGTCCATGATGGAAACCGTCAGCATGTCGTGGTAGAGCTTGATCACTTCCTTGTCGCTCAAGTCGGGCTTGAACGAAGGGTCGACCACTTGGCCGTGTTGGTCGACGGCCCGGTAGGTTGGTAGAGCATCGTATTTTGAGGGTTCCTCAAAGGTCATGGTGTTGCAGAAAGCAGATTTGACGGCTCCCGGAAACATGACATGGCTAGCATCTGGTCTCTGGGAGAGCGAGCTGGCATGGCGACGGCTGGGGACTGTCTTTGATGTTGTTGTCGTCGAGGGTTGAATGGCAATTGGCACGAGACGAGGCTGATGGGTAACCGGTGTTAGAGGCCGCAAAAGGGACGGCGACCGTTGACTGGAACGACAGATCCTCTTCATCTTGAAAGATGGGTGGGTGGAATGAAGAAACAACCAGTATGAGAAAATAATGAACGGTGGAAACAGAAAAGAGCAAGACGACAACAGAAAGATCGTGGGTACGTCAAGTCCCTCAATCGCAAAACAACGAGAAGAAAATTACAACATGACAAAGACGGCAATAGCAGATATGGGGAACGGGATTGTGGAGGACATGATCATTCATCAACAAATGATGGTTTGTTGTTTCCCCTGGTCTGGACTTTTCAGAGGGGTTGAAGTGCGGATCGACGTCACTTGTGCCGACGGAAACCGGCCATTCAAAGGAGGAGACCAGACCATGCATGGATTAAAACGCGGGGAATGCCAACCACTTTTCTCTTTCGGGATTGGCTTCTTGGGCGCCCTCGCTATACTGTAATCTCGAATGTCACTTCAGATCTCGGTTTTCCAAAACCTCCCGTGTCCACCTGCCAGCACCTGACGACTTGTACACTACTACGAAGTACACTACGAACCTTCACCGCGGTGAGGACCGGTGAGTAAGCATGGCATAGATATGACTTCCCCCCCCTGAACCAACGAAACGGTTTGTTTTGTATCGGCAAGTCGGTTGCCCCTGATCGACACAGGGCTGCCACCCGTTATTCCCAATTTTGTGTAACGCTACACAATTGCGCGTAGAAATAGCCTTTCTCGAACCATCGCCCGCAACTCTACATGGTTAAATGGCCAGATAGCTGAGAAATATGGCCGCTTGTGCCTGACGGGCGAGATTCCACCATGATCATATCCGCATGATTTTCGGCTACAAACCACAGGAGCGGGTCCGTGGTGTTCCCGTCAGAGGCAGGATTCCGGTTGTCAATCGCCTCGTTCGAATGTTTTTCGATCGGCTACATTATGGTTCTCGTCCTCGATTGAGGCCGATTAGAGTCGCTCAGTTCACGGACAATATCAAAATCGGCCCAGTTTGCTCTCATGGGTACATATAGCTGTCCAGGTCACTGCTTTCCCGTATTTCTTTGAGAAAATACCCGTCAACTCAATGTAGATATGGTTCGATGTCAAAATAGCATCGAGATCCTGAACGCAGGGTAAAGACAGGGTGAAGAAAGGTTGAAGAGAGGGAGGAGAAGAGCATAAATACCAGGTAGCCATCTCCTCTGTCAGAGAGAGAAGTTCAAAATACAGTCATCCTTCTTCATAGGTACCTACCTACCTTCAACAAGCCCCCCTTTGCATCCGGATTTCTCTTGTCTATACCACCACAGCTGAACGCCATAATGAGCCAAAACATCTACGACTCCATCGGCTTCTTCGAGTCCTACAGCAAGTATCCGCGCATGGAGAAGGGACTCGCCGGCGCATCGGAATGGCCCCTCCTGGAGACCATGCTGCCATCCAGTCTTGTGTCCAAGACCGTCCTCGACCTTGGGTGCGGCGACGGCTGGTTTTCCCGCTGGGCTCTCGACCAAGGGGCGAAAGCCGTATGCGCCATGGACGTGTCCCAGAACATGCTCAGCCGGGCTCGGGCGCTCAGTCCACCGGACCGATACCCGGCCATAACCTTTCGCCAAGTTGACATGGAGACATTGGAGGGCCAGGACGGGGGACTGGATCCCGAAGCGAATGACGTTGCTTTCAGCGGCCTCGCCCTGCACTACCTCGTTAACCTCGAGGCGGCTCTCCGACAGGTCTTTAGGTCTCTTCGGCCGGGCGGCTTGTTCGTCTTTTCCGTCGAACACCCCATCTTCACGGCTCCTCAACGGCCGGGGTTCCAAAAGTCTGGAGCTGTCCAGGACTGGCCTTTGAGTAGTTACTTTGCCGAGGGAGAGCGAGAGGTCGACTGGCTGGGTACGCCGGTGAGGAAGCAGCATCGAACCATTTCTAGGTCAGTAGGTAGCTCCGCGCTCCGAGCGAGGCTTGTGTGCTAACATGGGTTTCGTGCTCAAGCTATTTGAAGACACTCCGTACAGTGGGCTTTGAAGTCGTTGTGGTGGACGAATGGGGTGTTAGTGACGACGATAGCCGCAAACATCCCGACTGGCCCAATGATGGGGGGATTCCACGGTTTTTGCTCATCTCTGCGATAAAGAGAGTCGATGGAGCGGACAGTCTGAAAATAACATTGACTTGAGATTTTGTCGGTGTGACTGGACGAGTGGGCTCTAACAGGTACCGTAGACACGGCCTCCTTAGGTGGTTGACATTCGGCATGTAACTTTTCAGGCGAAGAGGCAGGCGAAAAAAAAACAATGATAGTTGTTAAACGTGAGAAAGTTTTCCTTTTAGGAAGTGAAGTAATTGGCCATTTCTTATCTGGACTGCTTTGCAGAGTAGGGAGAGCTCAACATGGGGGTTGAGGTAAGAGACCTCTTTGGTCTTCGCACTCTCTGAGTTTCCCCCTAAAGACTTAGAGATGCACTGTTTCAAATGACCTCGCGCTTGAGACTTCAGCAGCATGCGCTTCGCATATACAGCATACAGCATAGGCACTGCACAGAACGACAGAAATGACACCATTCTTTTGGGACACTCACTTGCGTAAAGAGACATGTCGACATATGGGGGCTGCAGAACGATGAGGTTATAATGTCCTCTGGTTCTATGAGTTCATGGGGAGAGAGCGGCTCATCCCACTTTTTCCACAAGCCGAACCCAACCTTCTTTCTGCGCGACCACCCAACTTACACTACAAACGACATGTCCGCACCAACACAATGGAAGGCAGGGGTCATGCTGCCCGCATCCATCTCCAAACTAACCTAGGTAGTGTACTGTACACTACGAAGGCGCCAACTGGAACCGGTGGTGGGCGGCCAACAAGCGCCCAGGGCAGGGCACCATCATGGCAATGGTCAACGGTTACGGGGGGGTCCACGGGAGTCGGCGGGTCGGAAGTGGAAGGGAAGCCTTTCCCAACATGTCCATCTTCCTCTCTGTTGACCGTTTCTCTTGCCGAACTCTCAACTTCTCGTGAACGTTGTTGTTGCCAATACCTGACACAACGAACCCCCCTCCGTCACTGCGTGCTTCTTCCTTTGTAGGTTAGTTGATCAGCCCTCGTGAACCACCAAACTTCATATTGTGCAATATTTTCATTTATCGCATTGCCTTCCCGTTCCACTTTATAGTCATATCCATCCCGCCACTGGCTGGGTGTTATCATTCAAGTGGAATCAATCAACCAACAACAAGCAACAACGACCAAGTCTAACCACTCATCCACATAACAGCCTGAGCCCGACAATACCGTATCGGCCTAACATCTACATACACAACACCGAGGTACTCGACTCTCGTCTCTCAACAGCCTTTCGACGAGCCCGAAGCGCAGCTACTACTTAGCGACTCGGACCACCCGTCGTCGTCTTCGATCGAGACTCGTCCAAGAGGCCAAACCATCATTTAGCCTAGCCCTCCCGAAGCGCGATACAGACCGCAATCGGCCCTTGGCAGCGAATGGTCTCACTACGGCGTACCACACCACTACGATTACTGTTGCCGCTCTTTGACGACCCAGGACCGATCACCACGACCGCCGCCGCCGCGAGCACCACGGCTTCCACTTGTTCCATCCCATAACATTCGAGTTGCTGTAGAGGATAAGGTAGATATCCCTACCTAGAGGTACATACTCTGTCAGGGTATCCGATCCATCATATCTGTTACAAATCCGTCTTGTATCCCATCCCGGCCTCCGACCCGCCTGCCTCATGGCGTAATCCATGGCAGACCGAAGCCTTGCAAACCCGCGCTCCAGATCGGCTATCGACCACGATCACGCAGTGCGCCTGCCTTCTTCGCCATTGCCCGCACCACGCTCGCCCAACTCGACCATCTCCGACCCGTCCACGCCTTCCCCAAATCCCAAACGCATTCGAACCCTCGGCCCTCATACTACCCCGTCCTCTGCTCTAGCCGCCTTTAGTGTGAGCTCTCCTGCAAGGTAAGTCCAGAAAGAGAGAAAGAAAAAAGAGAGAGAGAGAGATAGGGAGTTGGAAGCGAAGGAATCCATCCACGACACCACACCTGCACAACACAGAACACACAACGAACCCCAACACAATAATAAACCCCCCATCCAGACACACAATCCATCTAGACACATCTTGTTCCGTCCCTTCTGTACCATTTGTCCCCCGCTGCTGCCCCTGCCTGCCCTTTCTGATTGCCTGCCCTCTGCACCGAGTACTCGGTTGGCAGAAAGAGGAGTGGGTATCAAATCTCGAACCCTCCACTTCCATCCCGAGTCGGGTTGTTGTCGCCAAACAAACTGCATCCTCCCCGTGCCTACTCCAGCCTTGGCCAGCCTGCTCTGCTCTGTCTTCGATCAATGGAAGCAAAGTCCCGAACCGAAACAACGAGGCTGCTGCCACCTTGCCTGCCGTATTGAGGCCCTCCTCTGCCTGCCCCTTCGGCCCAGTACGTGCATATACCTCCAGCTGTACTCCCATCTAGCTGGAACGACTCGAACAATCCATGAGCCAACCCTCATCAAAACAATCAGCTTTCGGTATATCGCTTCTGCCGGTCGCGTCCTGGTGAAAGAAGCACGCGAACGCAAGCATCATCCAGCAACTGCAGTACAGCACGCAGCTTCTGTTCCTACCAAAAAATAAAAAAAAGGAGCGAGGGCAGTTCTTGATCACATCAAAACCATCCCACCAACGAACAACCTTATTAAATCTCGAGCTTCTCAATTTGGTTCGGTACGGCTGTCAAACCTTTTGTTAGCTACGTCCAGACACCACTGGAAAAAGACATCTGGGCACTGGCCATCAGGACCTCCTCTTTGCTGGAACCTGCACCGGCGAGGACCAAGTCCAGACCTGAAAGGGCGATCGACTCTCGATACATCCCAAGTCACCCCGCCATTTTCGCGATACACTCCTTCCGATCTGACCAACGGAGCATGTGTTTGGCTGGCCTTCAATATCTCGATTGTCCAGGCACCTTCATCTTCACTCTTCCCCTACTCCATCACCATTTCCTTCTCGTCCCCTGTCCCTAGCCTTTCATATTAATAAGCCTGGCTTTTTTTTTCTTGTCACTCTGCCCCCCAAAACAAAACCCGATCCATCCCCATCACATCCCATGATACCGTTTGGCTCAATATTTACCCATGTCTACTAGACTTACGAGGTCCGCCGCCCGTCAAGCTGCGAGCCAGGCAGCCAACTTGAACAACTCGACTTCGACTGCTGCTGCTGCTGCTGTTGCTCAACCCGCCACTGGTGGAACGACTTCCCTCGCCGCGGAAGCTTCCTCTGCTCCACCTGCCGCCGCTCAGACCCTGGCTCGGTCCTCAAGTGCTAAGAAACGCAAGACCACCGCGGCTGCAGAAGCTAACAGCCATCCCGAGACCGCTGCGGAGTTCCCATCCTCAGCCAGACGCTCGAAGCGACAGCGAGTGACGCAACCCGCTTCTCAGTCTTCATCTTCCATTACCCATCCAGCCCAGCCTGCCGCCGCCCCAAGTTCCGCCGCATCCTCAACGACCAAGAAGACAGCCACCACACGCCGTAAGAAAGGCAAGGCGCTAGCTACCTCTACAATGTCGAGCCCAGAGTATGTCATTATCAGCTCTCCCTATATTTTCTGGCAATCTCTATCCGGACTACAATGCTAATCTAACTCGTCTGTACTAGGAACTCGGCCGTTCCTCCTAACCCCCCGACAAACCCTTCTTCGGCATCAACAAGCCGTAGGTCGAGCCGTCACAAAAAGGATGCACAAGGTGAGCAAGGTGTGTCTGATATGTCCGATGTTACCCTTCCGCCCATGCACATTCACTCAACCAATCCAGCATCAGCATCAGCCTCGAGCCGAAAATCAAAACGAAATGCCAAATCTTCATCTGCAGACCAAGATGTGGTCATGACCGGGACCGATGAGCACGAAAAGGACCCCACGCCACCTCCTCCGCCACCTCCCCCTCCAAAGGAGAGTCCTCCCACCGATAGTGACGAGCACGACGAGGATGATGAAGACGACGATGACCACCATCGTTACGACGACGATGATGACGATGAAGATGACGATCCCTTCACTGGTTTTGGTGGTCACGGGCGTCATCCCCACAGTCTCCAGGATACGCTGAGACATCTGAGTGGGATTATGTCGGGAGTCTCGGCTCAGGTGCGGAAAATAATGGCAGATCTGAAGCGGAAGGACGACCCGTCATTGCAACTTATGGCCCTGCATGAACTATCCACCCTTCTGCTCATGACAAACGAAGACCAACTGAGCGGACATCTCCAACCCGACCAGGTTGTGCCCGAACTGGTAGCGCTGATGAGACCTAACGAAATAACTGGAGAGGAGAACCCTGAAATCCAACTTGTCGCCTGTCGTTGCCTCGCAAACCTGATGGAGGCCCTGCCGGGAAGCACATCGGCCTTGGTGTATGGGGGCGCCGTCCATATTCTGTGCGAGAAACTGCTACAGATCTCCTTCATCGACCTAGCCGAGCAAGCACTTAGCACTTTGGAAAAAATCTCTGTGGAATATCCCACAAGCGTCATGCGCGAAGGCGGCTTGACTGCCTGCCTGACTTATTTGGACTTTTTCGCAACCAGCACGCAACGCTCCGCTGTTACCACGGCTGCGAACTGCTGTCGCAACATCCCGGAAGATTCCTTTCCGGAAATTTTGGGTGTCATGCCCATCCTGTTGAACGTGCTTGGGAGTAGCGATCAGCGCATCGTTGAGCAGGCCTCGCTATGTGTCTCGCGCATTGCCGAGAGTTTTAAATACCACCCGACAAAGTTGGAAGAGCTTATGAGTGTGGATTTGCTCAAGGCCATTCTCCGTTTGCTACTTCCAGGCTCCACCAACCTGATCAGCCCGCACATTCACACTCAGTTCCTACGGGTTCTTGCGCTCACGGCAATGGCGAGTCCCCGTCTGTCGGCTGAACTCTTCAAGCTCAATGTAGTGGAGACGCTTTATCAGATCCTTACGGGCGTGTCCCCGCCGAGTGGGAACGACGACCTTGCTTCCAAGCTCGATAGTGTGCTCATAATGCAGGCTCTGATTCATAGACCTCGGGACCAGATCATTGAGACACTCAACGTCATTTGCGAACTTCTGCCTAGTGTGCCATTGCGCGACTCTTCGTCGATCAATTACACCGTGGAATTGGGCACATTTGCAGGTCCTATGGGTGGATCTGGGGAGAGCACGAGGAGAAGGACTGCGAACGAAAAACGTATCGAACACATGGAGGGCTGCAAGGAGGAGGTTCGGAGATTCGCCCTGATTTTATTCCCAACCCTCACGGATGCCTTTTCAAGCACCGTCAATCTCACTGTCCGTCAAAAGGTCTTGGCCGCTCAGCTCAAAATGCTCTCCAACTTGGATCAGGACATCTTGTCTGAGGCACTCAGATCAGT